GAGGGAAGTCTAGAGGGAGCCAAAGTAGCCAACTGTTTTCCAAATAATTGTGTGCTCAGTTATGATTTAGGAGGCAAGACTTAGTCTTCCTGTTTACAGCAATTTCCTGGGTTTTGCCCAATTAGCCATAGAGACAGGTTTATCGCTGCTGATCTAACAATAATATACTTTGCTTTCAGAGCTTTTTAGCTCAAAGTACTTTATAAACATTCGTTTAAGCCTCACAAACCCTCTTGTGTTGGTAGGTATTATGAAACGTGTTTTCCATCTGGGTAAACTAAGGGGCAGAGATTGCAACTTGCATAACATCAGCTGAAACACGGGGAGGAAGAGAACCCAGGAGGGGCTGCGCTCTACGTAGATCAGAGCACGCGAGCCTTTGAAGGAGGGCTGGGTCCGATTGTGAGCGTGTCGCTCGCTGAGTGGTGTGAGATATCCATCCTGGCTTGCTTTTGGCTCCAGGCCTAGGAAGAAAGCAGCACGTTTGTTCTGCGAGTGAGCCTCCCCTCCTGTTTCACCTGCCCGTTTCTGCTGGCCTGTGGAGGAAGCCCCCACAGGGCTCTGGACGTGCTGTGCTGTGACAGGCAGCTTTTGGCTGTGCTCTCTCCGTTCAGGTGTGTCTGCCCCCACCTAAACTCTGGGCTCTCCCTCCCTAGCTGTGGACACCCACGTGCACAGGATCACAAACAGGCTGAAGTGGGTGAAGAAGGAGACCAAACACCCCGAGGAAACTCGGGCAGCGCTGGAGGACTGGCTGCCCAGGTAAGGCCTGAGACCCCAGCCTCCTTCCCCCACACCAAGCCCCTCGAGATAGCTGCAGGAGCTGTCTGCACGCAGTCCTGCTTGCAGCACTTTCAGTGACTGTGCTTTGGGTCCCTCCTCTTTATGGGGGACGAGCTGCGGGTGTTTCCCCTCTCCCAGAGAGCTGCAGCAGCATCTCAGCTACTTGGTTGTTTCCCAGCTATCAGATACCTGTCACCACTAGTGCAGCCAGGTACCTGGAGGTCTTGATGCCAGATTCTTGCCCTGACAAGTTCACTGTGACCCAAGCCAGGTGCTTTTCTGTGCAGGACCTTGCTGAGCCTAACAGCCACAGCAATATCAGGCCGTGGTTGGATTCCTGCCTTCACTGATGCTTCATCTTGAGTATCAGCTGCCAGCTACCAGGTCCACTGTCGCGTCCCCACATCTGGCACATGCCTTAGCACCAGAGAATGACCACAGGCGCTCTGTGTCTGTCCTCTGCTCCCTGTCCCGGTTCAGAGGGATCAGGAAAGGCCAGGAGGGCTGTTCCTAGCAGGAGGCTGGGACCCGCCTCCAGGCTCCTTAGGAGGCCAAGAGGAACAGGCAGTAGGCGAAAGGGATCCATTTAAAAGCACAGGCTGTTCTTAACTCCTCTGAGCAGCTGTATCGGAAAGCTCATGTTTTTCCTCTCACTGCAGGGATCTTTGGAGAGAGATAAACTGGCTCTTGGTGGGCTTTGGCCAGCAGACCTGCCTGCCTGTGAATCCTCGCTGCAGCGAGTGCCTCAATCAAGACATTTGCCCAGCTGCTAAGAGACGCTGAGGGATCATCTGGTCTTCATAGAGCAACAAAGCTGCATCGGCTCAGCAGCAGGCTAGAGCTGAGCCCTGGTAAAGCTGTGCTTTGCACGGGGCTGGCTGTGTGACTGCAGGGAAACAGGAGACTGCTGCAGCCAGCTCAGCATCTCTGGGGAGGGAGCAGCCGCTGGCAACGGCTGAGCTCTTAAGAGGAAAAAGGGTCTTTCAAAGTGCAGCAGTCCTGCTGCGGGAGTGCTAAAGGCTCCAGCCCCCGTGTGAATGCCTGAGCGTGCCCTGGCAGAGCAGCGGGCTGTGCCGTGTCAGGAGTAGCTGGAGAGAAATGCTTTGTCCTGCAGGACTTGCTGCTGCTTGTAAATACACATTTAATAAAGGTGGGGTTTGGTTATTTTTTTCCACCCATGAGGTTTCCTGGCATCTGTGCCACACAGGGCAGGGGGAGGGGAGCACGGGTGACCTCACCGAAGTGCGAGGCCACAGCAGCCAGCCCTGCCAGCCGAGCAGGCAGCGTGCGACCTGCCAAGCCTCCTGCCTCGCCCGGGCGGCGCGGGACGCTGCCGTGAATGAGGTTCAACTGAAGGCTTCACCAGCCAGGATCAGAGGAGGCCGCTGCCTGGACCAGGTCCTGGGAGCAGAGGAGCAGGGGGGACAGGAGACAAACCAGCGTCACTCTCGGCTGCGTGTGTGCCAGCAAGGTTCCAGTGGCCACAGGAGCCAGGCTGGTGTGCGCCTCAGAAGCTGACAGAAGGGACACTTGCCACTGTCTGTGTTTTGTTCTTCAAAGAAAGGGCAGCGCTGACTTCATTGTAGAGCTTCAAAGGAATAATTTCAGCTACTCTTTAAACAGGCAAGGGAGGAAGCAAAGTTTATAATGTGCTGCAGAAGGCTGCAATTCCGCTCTGAAGTTCCCCATCAAACATATGAGGAATGAGCAAATAAGTACTTGGTACATGGGAAAACGAAGTTTATTACTGACATTACAGTGTACATTATGGTTTTACAATGCAGCTGACAGCCTTATACTTTATTGATTTTTTTTTTCCCAAGTTAAATGTACAGGAACTGAATAATTACTACTGAGCTACAAGATGTCAGAAATACGATAAGTGCTTTAACCAGGAGCAGTTTCCATGGACTAAGCAAAGATTAAGATTTTAAAATCTTATCAGTACAGATTTGCACACCTGATTTCTTTTGATCTGCATTCAAAACTATGTGTTCTTTCCTCCCCCCCTCAACCACAGCGGTCCAGTCTTGTCTGAGAAGTGCGGCATTTACAGAGGGGTCTTTGCTCTCTGACATGCATCAGAGAACGCGACATTTAGGTCGGTGTGACGGGGAACGCTCTGCCCTGTGCAGACCGGGATGCTGCCTGGGGTTTGGCTACGCAGGCACGGGAAGCAACGTACATACCATGAAAAAGAAGGGCTCCTTCAAAAGAAGCAAATATTTTGGGGGCCAAAAAAAAAGAGCAGGCAATTGTCTTTGAAGTGGGGTAGGGAAGAGGTGTCCTGTCAATGGCAGAGTCCTGGAGGGGAGGCAAACCTCTCCACATCCTGAGCTGTCATCCCGCTGCCGGTCTCGTCACCGACAGCCAAACACCTGCACCAGTTCCTCTCCAAAGTCATGATTTTCAGCCTGTTCAGCCCATCAACATTCGTAAAGGATAACTTCTGTAGAAGAGAACTCAGCCCCTTCACCCTGAGGCTCTCCACGCTCTCCTGCCAGCCACCGGCTGCTCTCCCCAGTCCCCCTGCCCCGCACCGACCCGCTGCCGAGGAGAGCAGGACGTTATAAGGCACCTTTTAGCACGCACACAGCTGTTAGGAGATCCACACCAACCCACCCAAGGGCCACCAGCATGTCACCCAGCAGTGTCAGAGTCACGCAGGGCAGTCCCAGCCGTGGTGTTAAACCGGTCATTGATCCCCAACTGATGGCTGCCATTTACTTTTAACTGGGGAAAGTGGCTTTGGACTCGACTGTCCTGCTGCGCCCAGTCCCTGCCTGCTCCTTCCGTCGCATCCGAGCGGCAATCCCGGGCAGCCGCTGTGGCTGGGCTTGGGGGGCTGCTGGAGCTCCCCCTCGCAGCCAGGACCCTGCAACTGTCTGCAGCCTCCGGGCAGTGTACTGCAGCTTAGTCATCTTCCCCCAAGTCTTATGAAATGGGCTTAATTTGGAATGCTTTAAAAATACATTTTTGAGGCGCTCAGACCAGGGTGTTTCCAAAGAAGCCACAGAATGCCAAAGGAGCTGCTGCTCCCTCACCCCGCTGCTCCAGAGCCATCCCTGCAGAGACCCCCCGGCTTTGGGGGACACCCCCCCCATGGCCAGGCAGAGACTCAGTTACACTCAGGGGCTGGAGGCACCAAATACCAGCCCAGAAACAACAAACCAGGTGGGACCCGGCCCCTGCGCCGAGACCCAGCACCCCGGCACGGCCAGGGCTGAGCCCACCACCCCAGTGCCCAGCTTCAGCCGGATCCCCACCTTCCTCCCTGGAAAGATGCTGGGTGCACTCGCCTTCAGATCTGTCCAAAGAGTTTGGTGGCATCTCACAGCTCTTGTCCCCTTGCGAGGCTGCCGGAGCCGGGCTGGCAGCACCGCTCCTCGCACCGCGGGACAGGACTGGCCCCGCTCCCCGCCTTCCCCACCAATGGCTGCAAACGGCATTTGGGCTGTAGGGTTTGGGGTTTGTTCTTAAATTCTGCCCTTTCCCCTCTGCAGAGCTGCCGGGGATGAAAAAGGGGCTTTTACTGCCAGGGCAGGAGTCACAGGTGGGGATGGAGGTTCCTAAACTAACTGGAAACATATGGGACTTCATTAAAAAAAAAAAAAGAACAAAAACAACAAAACAAACTTTCGTTTCAATAGCAAAGCCAACGAGAGCGATGTACAGCCACTGTCCGTTTTCCCCTCGTGGGAGTAGTTAACGCTGCAGGTGGGGGGACGGGCAGGGGGT